TTATCAATCATAATTTTGAAGTAGTTATGAGCATAGACAGTATTTCAAAACGTGCAACAACTATAATGTGAGAAAATTATTTCCATTGTTGATAAATTCACAGGTATTGCTAATATTACTGGTTTTTTTTTACCTTTGTTCATAATTGAATAAAATGCTAAATCTAAGTTAGAGGTTGATGAAATAAATGTCATTTTTTTCCCATGTGAGTCTATGGATCCTCTGATTTTTTCCCAAGAACCACATCTTCCTGTAAATCTCTGAGAAAGATTCTTAGAATAAGTTTATTTCTTTCGAGTTATGATTGTTGGTGTAATTTATTTTTACTAAAATGACCTTGTTTTTCAGCAATTCTAACTGTCCACCCCCACCCCAGGTACTGAAATGTCTTTCACTGAAAATGGGACAATTGTTTTGCTGATTTTTTTTTCCCCTGAGTTTTTTGCATGAAATCTAAAGATCTTTACTTTGACTTGAATTTTCTAATTGGTTCTTGTTTGGAAGGAGTAGGTATCAAGGGTCGATTCGGGTAAAAAGACCAAAGTTGTTTTTTCTGTTGTTAAAAGACTTACATTTCTGAAGTGGTTTAAATTGTATAATGCATACCTGAAGCTTTGAGTCTTGTTTTGTGCTTACTAATGTTATGCAAAATACTGTTGAAGAACAGTGAGTAAGGTAAGAGAATAGTTTGCTGATATTAGTGGAACACTGTAGAGGTAGAAATTGATTGAAATTTAGGTATGGCTAAACTGTAAGGAGTCTTGAGTGCCAGACTGAGGAATTTTGAACCATTGAAAATATTAAGCAGGGGAATAATGTGGCTGAAATGATTTCTAGAAAGCTTAAAATCCAATGTTGGTGTGATTAATGATATGATGTGCAGAGAATTGAGATACAAAACTTTAAAGCAGAGTGGTACCAAGAAGGATTACGAACAGTTCTGTCACTGTATTTTAGGAAGGACACATCCGCCACATTCCAGTCAGCCAATGGATCACCCCAGGCCGAACAACCTCCCTTGGAATCTACAAGCAAAGAAGCCTTCTTTAGCAGAGTGGAAACATTTTCTATATCCTTTTTTAGTTCACATGAGTTGCACCTTCTACCCACTCCTGGAATTGTTATCCCTCCAGAGTATTACACCATTTATTCTGATTAGCAGAGTGGAAACATTTTCTATATCCTTTTTTAGTTCACATGAGTTGCACCTTCTACCCCCTCCTGGAATTGTTATCCCTCCAGAGTATTACACCATTTATTCTGATGTTTTAAACTTAAGAATCAACCTTGGTAAGAAATTTTATAGGAAAATTAGCATTGTAATGTGTTATCCCTCAAAGGGACAGTTGAGGTTATCTAACCTTTTCTTTTTACAGAAGAAAGAACTAAGATCTGAGAGGAGAAGGAATAATAACTAATATTTGTATATAGTGTGTTTTCACTTATATTATCACATTTGATCTTCACCTTAAGCCTATGAAAATAGGTATTATTATTATTAACATATTAATTTTACAGAAGAAGAAACAGTTTCAGGTGGGTTATATGACTAGCCCAAGATCACCCTGCTAGCAAATGGCAGAACCAGGATTATAGTCTGTTTTTTGAGTCTATACTACTATATTGTCTCTAGATTTTCCTTTGTGTATTGGTTATCTATTGTTATGTAACAAGTTGCCTTTAAACTTAGTGGCTTAAAACAATGAACATTTATCATCTCACAATTTCTATGGATCAGGAATCCTGGCATGGCTTAGCTGAGTCCTCTGGCTCAGGGAGTCTCACAGGTGGTAGTCAAGGTTGACTGGGGTGCAGTCATCTCAAGGCTCAACTAGGAAAGGATCAACTTCCAGGGTCATGTGATTGTCTGCAGGATTCATTTCCTTGTGGCTATTGGACTGAGGGCTTCAGTTCTATATTGGCTGTAGACCTCCCTTGGTTACTTGCTACATGGGCCTCTCTATAGGGGCAGTTCAGAGCTTGTCAGCTGGCTTCCATCAGAGTAAACAAGCGAGAGAGCAAGATGGAAGCTAGACTCATTTTGTAACCTAATCTGAGAAGTGACATCCTATCACGTTTGCCATATTCTGTTCATGAGAAACAAGTGACTGGGCTAGCCCATAAAACAAGTGACTAGGCTAGCCCATCCTGAAAAGGAGGGGATTACACAACAGCATGAATACCAGAAGGTAGGGATCATTGGAGCCACCTTAAAAGCTGCCTTCCTCCCTTTGCTTTTATAGAAGTCTTTAGTAGCTCCAGCTGTTGTTTTTTGTTGTTTTTTTTCCCAAATTTGCATTTATAACAAATTACCAACAAGGTCCTGACCTAGGAATCTAACATTAAATAAAATCTCAGAATTTAAGACAATGAAAGAAATTAAATCACACATTTTTTTCATCAAGAAATGAATACTGGAATATTACTAAAATAAAAAAGTAAGCACATGCCCAATTATCACATTGCATATTTCAGAGAAGAGGCATTAAACATGAATGTCATAAGTTTACTTACAAACATATCTAGTATGCTATATGAGTTCAAGAGTTTGCTGCATTTCTCAGAGATTGTACCTCTTAAAATGCTCTTCATGTCTATTTCATGAATGAACTAAAACATCCTCATATCTTAAATGGTTGGTGTCTTACTGTAAAGAAAGATACAGCAAATCAAAGCTAACGTACAAAGGTATCATAATTAGTAACTGCCACTTCGTTTCCACAGAAAATGGCAAATTCTTGACAAAATAAAAATTTAAAGGGAAAAAAGAAAGAAAATGGCAAATTCTTCCCTAGGCTGTCATAGTGGCTCCTGTGGACCACAGGGGTTGTGAACCTCCAGATGCTCTGTCCCAACAGGGCACTGTTGGTAGCTCTGCAAAAGAAGCAGAGACCAAAGGTGGAAGAAATGCAGTACCACACCAAGTCCTACTTTTTTTTTTGATAACCTTGTGTCTTCACCACCCCACCCCCACCCATGCAAGGACCAAAAGGCTCAGTTGGGTTTTTAGAGTGAATTTTTTTTTGTAATTTTAAAACAATTTCAGAGCTGGTCGGTAGCTCAGTTGGTAAGAGTATGGTGTCGATAACACCAAAATCTAGGGTTCAATCCCTGTTACCACCAGCTGCCAAAAACAAAAACAATTTCAGACTTAGGAAAGATTGTAGAGGTTACAAAAAACTTTTTTTCTGAGTTATTTGAAAGTAAGTTGCTTAAGTGATGCCTCATTCCCAAATATACCTATAAACAAAGACTTTCTTTTCCATAACCAGAATGCAACCTTCAAAATCAGGAAACTGACATTGATAAATTACTACCATCTAATCCTCAATTTTCTCATTAGTTGTACTAATAATGTTCTGTGTGACAAAAGGATCCAGTTGAGAATCACATTGCATTTAGTTGTCATGTTGCTTTAGTGTCCTTTAAACTGGATCATTTCCTCATTTTTTCCATGATTTTTATGATCGCGATGTTTTTGAAGATTACAGGCCAGTTATTTTGTAGAGTATACCTCAGTTCATGTTTGTCTGATGTTTCCTTATGATTAGATTCAGGTTATGTAACAATGTCATGAAGTGATGCTATGTTCTCATTGTGGCACATGATTTCGATTGATCCCTTTATGGTGATGGTCACTTTGATCACTTGATTAAGGGAGTGTCTGTCATGCTTTTCCATGTAAAATAACTCTTTCCTCCTTTGTATTTAAAAAGCGTTTTGTGGGGAGCTTCTTTGAAAGTATAAATATCCCGTGCTTCCTGAAACTTTACGAGAAGTTCTGTTTCTGGCCAGACAGCCCCTCTCCAGGTATTTACTTCAGAGAATTGCAGTTTCCCTCTCTCCTTGGTCATTGCATTTCTAATATTGTCTAGTTTTTTGTAAAAACATGGTCATCGAAGTTTCTTTTTCTTCTTTTCTATCTGTGCTTTTCAAGAACTTACATTCACCTATGTTATTATTTAACTTTATTAAGTGCATTTGACATGCCAAAGGCTTAGTTATGTATACATGATTCTACTTAATCCTCACAGGAGCCCTGGGAAGTAGTTATTATCATCCCGATTTTTTTAGATGAAGACACTAAGAACCAGAGCTCTAAAACCAACCAGAGAGAAGCCATAATTATGGTTTTATCTGATTCCGAACCCTCTGCTTTGCCCACCATACTGAGCAGTCCTGTGTTCTACATAGGCTTCCTTTAGAGGGTACACTAATGGTGGCAGTTGAACAGGGTTTAGTTGCTAAAGAAGACTCACAGGACTCCAAATGAGAGTGATTACAAATCTACTGTTTATTATAGTAAAATTGTACTCTATAGAAACAGCACTGAAATAAGGATATTAGCACTGCCAAAGGCTACCTCACCTAAGAATCTGAAGAGGTCAAGTCCAAGCTCCTATTTCCTTCCTATATAAGGGCCATTGTAAAACACATTCTCCCTTGAATCAGGAACCACTGATATGTCACAGAACACTTTGGAATAAGACAGCCCAAAATGTAAACTCAACTGGGATTTTTTTTATATTTTGTTGATCAGGTAGGCATATTCCTGCTAAGTAAACAGCTTTGACAGCAGAGCCCTCTGGTGGGGAATCTCACCAAGACCAGGTACAAAATTCTTTAGATCCACAGTAGCAAAGCAACACTGTTCATCCATATATTTCATGCCTTGACCAGGGATCAATCCTATGTAGTATATTTTTTATTTCAGTAGGACAGCTCAGGCTAACTCCAGGGTTACTGATGGCTAGGAATTGTTCCATGAATGACCAATAAAAGGCAAAAAATAGATTGAAAGTGACCATAGATTGCTATCTACCTCTGATGAATTAAGGGGTGGTGGAAAAGGGATTATTAAGAAATAAAATTGTTGGCTGGGCTGAGCCCGTGGCGCACTTGGGAGAGTTGGAAAAGGGATTATTAAGAAATAAAATTGTTGGCTGGGCTGAGCCCGTGGCGCACTTGGGACAGTGCGACGCTCCCGCCGCGGGTTCGGATCCTATATAGGAATGGCCGGTGCACTCACTGGCTGAGCGCGGTGTGGGCGACACCACACCAAGGGTTGCGATCCCCTTACCGGTCATGAAAAAGACAAAAACATAAAATAAAATAAAATAAAATTGTTGGCTGGCCAGTTCAGTAGGTTAGAGTTCAGCCTTATAACACCAAGGTAACAGGTTTGGATCCCCATACTAACCAGCCACTGACCCCCTCCCGAAAAAGAAAGGAGATAGTTAATGGTGACTGTATAACAAGGATTTCTTGCTGTTGGCCTAACTATTTCACTGTGTAATATAACAAAACTATAACAAAACTCAGTCCTGTGAGGATTTGACTCCATCCTTGTCCAGTGGACTTAGTCCAAGTTTTTAGGGCTGCCTAGGGCTCTGTTGGGTGTTTCCAATTCTTGTTACTATACACTCTGCTTTCTTGATCCCACTCATAATTTCAGCAACCACATTGGAGACCTCTAATTTCTATCCAGTCCTCTCTTTTGAGCTTGACTCATGTTTTCAACTACTTTCTAAACATTTCCACTTAATATTATAGGTACCTGGAACTCATCATATACAAAACTGAACTCTTCATTTTATGACTAAAACTTTCTCCATCTTCATAAATGTCACTGATCTCCCCATCCAGATGTCCTAGCCAGAAACCTGGAAGTCACTTTAATGCCCTTCCCTGTTGTCACCCACCTTGTCCCATCCATTCTACCTCCTAAATAGATGTCAGGTATGACCTTTCAAGTATATCATCCCTTGGTTTGGTTCTTTAACATTCAAGGGACTTATGTGTGGAGAAAGGAACAATCACAGCTATTTACACTTTAATTCTTAAATTTATTAAGCATAACTAAAAGAATAAAATTTTGTAGGTAATTTTTTTCTAGCATTTACTAATAATTACAAACTAAATTAAATTTCTTTAAACATTTAAAATTACAATTACTAATTTACTAGCACTGATTATTTTGAACATATCAAACAATTTAAATAGTAGAAAAATAAACAAATACATTAATTATAAACATACTTAAATGTATGTTGAAACATTTTCCTGATGGGTTTAATTTCTTCTCCATTTGCTCTTTTACCCTCAAAAAGTTTTACAGCTACTTTCCTAGTATTGTAGTAATGTGACCAAACCCAAAATTAGGAGAAGATGATGAGAAAGGTCTTGGGACCTGGATTCTTTTCCCAAGTTTTGTTAAACCTGAGCCACTGGTCATCAGAAATGTTACCTTTTTACTGTTAAACCTCACTTGATTTTTTATAGTCCACACTTTTCCCATTCAGTTTTTTATAACCTGACTTTTCTTATAAAATGATACAACTTTTTTAATTGATGGCATATGTTTTGACATATTGGGTTAATTGCAACAACTTTAAATAATTTGATAAACTGTTAAAAAATATTTTATTGCTCCTGAATATAGAAAGTATCCCTTTGTTTTATTTTTAACTTTAAAAATAATTTCTAAAATTTTGAAATGTTTCAAGTATAGAAAAAAGCTGTATGTGATAATAAAAAAAAATCTCTGTCTACCACCCAAGCCCACTTTATCCCAACATTTTGCCATCCTTGCTTCAAACCACCCCTTCCTGCTTTCTTTCTGTTAATCAAGAAGAGTTACAGATACAGCTGTAATCTCATTCTCTGCCTCCCTATCCTGAGATAAATACTATACTGAATTTGGTGTTTATCATTTGTTTGCATGGTTTCTTCCTTTTTTTTTTTTTTTTTTTGTCTTTTTTTTCGTGTCCGGCAATGGATCGCAACCCTCAGTGTTGCGCCCGTACCGGACCGGGACCGGCAACAGGATCGCAACCCTCGGTGCTGCGCCCGCACCTCGCTCAGCCAGTGAGCGGGAACCGGTCTGTATGTGGGATCCGAACCCTCGGCGGGAGCACCGCTGCACTCCCAAGTGGCGCACTGTAGCAGTGCGCCACCGGGCCGGCCCATTGTTTGCATGGTTTCTAATTCTACAAGTATCTATAAGCAATATATATAGCAGTATTTACTTGTTCTAAAATTTTGTATAAATGTTCCCATACTGAGTATATCCTTCGACAACCTGCTTTTGGGGAGGGAAGGTGTCCCAATTTTTTGAAATTAATCCATGTTGTCGCATGTAGCATGTTTGAAGCTTTCTAATTAGTAGATCCATCTAAAATTTTAATCTTCTCGGGGATGAGGGATGGAGTTTGCCCAGTTAGCTCTCTCTTTGGGAAAGCTAGTTTATTCAGATCTTAGAACCCACTGTCAAACCCTCTTTCTACAAGTTATTGTGTATGACTGTATCTTGAACATCCTATTTACCTGGTTGTGTGTCATCACAGGTGCTGATTAAGCCATCCTATTCTTGATACCTACTATCCTTGGAATAGGTTCCTACTTATTCTAGTTCTATTAAGCGTATTCACGGTTCCCTTCTCTACTAACACAGATTCTGAGCTTTTTGGATGTGTAGATTAATGTTTTTCATGAAATTTGGGAAGTTTTTAGCCAATATTTCTTTAAATAATCTTTCTCCCTCTTTTCCTCTCTTTCCTCTTCTTTTGCAGAATATTTCTTTAAATAATCTTTCTCCCTCTTTTCCTCTCTTTCCTCTTCTTTTGCAGCATTATGCAAATGTTGGTGTGCTTGATGGTGTCCCATAGGTCTCTGCAGCTCTGTTCATTTTTCTTCATTCTTTTTTGTTTGTTTCTCAGACTGGATAATCTCAAATGACCTGGCATTATGCAAATGTTGGTGTGCTTGATGGTGTCCCATAGGTCTCTGCAGCTCTGTTCATTTGTCTTCATTCTTTTTTGTTTGTTTCTCAGACTGGATAATCTCAAATGACCTATCTCTGTGTTTGCTAATTCTTTCTTCTTCCAGCTCCAATCTGCTGTTGAACACTTCTAGTGCATTTTTTACTTCAGTTGTTATACTTTCTAACTCCTCAATTGCTATTTGGTTCTTTTTCATAATTTCTCTTTATTGATATTCCATATTTCGTGAAACATCCTTCTCATACTTTCCTTTAATTCTTTAGACGTGGTGTCCTTTAGTTCTTTGGACATTTAAAATAATTAAAGTGTTCATCTAGTAAGTGCAGTGTCTGGGCTTCCTCAATGACAGTTTCTTTTAGCTGCTTTTTTTCCATGTGAGGCTCATACGTTCTTATTTTTTTCCTTGTCTCTTAATTTTTTTTTTGAAAACTGAAAATTTTAAAGAATGTAATGTATCAGCTCTGGAAATCAGATTCCACCCCAAACCCACCAGTGTTTGTTTCTGTTGTTATTGTCATCAGTGTGTTTGTGTTGTTGTTGTAACTGTTTGCTTGGTGACTTTCCTAAACTAATTCTGTAAAATCTATATTCTTTGTCATATGTGGTCACTGAAGTCTCTGCTTAGTTAGCTTAGTGGTCAGATGATAATTGGACAGAGATTTCCTTAAATTCCTGGAGCCAATAAGTCCACCAGCCTTTGCCAAGGAGCTCTGTGTGCATGTTGGGCACACCTTCAATGGTCAAGCAGGCAGTTCTCAACTCTGCATTAGCCTTCTCTTCCTGCTTGCAGAGAGCCTCAAATTCAGCCAGAGATGAGAGCTTCTCAGATCTTTCCTGGGCATGGGTACAGCCCTGCACATACACATGTCCTTCTAGATTCCAAGGAATGTGTCAGAGCTTTTCAAACCCTCCTGCGGACATCTCATTTCACAGCTTTTCATTTTAAGGTTTTTGGTCAGCTTTGCCCAGACTGTTATTGCTGCTTCAAGGCAACTGTGATGTTAAACAGTTGCTTCTGATTATTTTTGA